GGTTTCGTGATAAACAGCTCACCCGTAGGTAGATTTACGGAGTCGAAAACCTTATATTGCACTCACACACCCCATCACTTATATACATATTTCTTTGAATCAATGTTTAACAAGAGGTTTACATTGTGTATTCATATTTAATAAGCTCTAACATAGGTTCAAACTTCTAAAGTACAGGCCTAAGTTGTAGCCAAAAAAAACATACATTTTCAATGAGAAAATGCCCTCATTACAACCCAAAAACACACCATTGTCTTTAGAAAACCCACTCTAGCTAAGTTCTCCTTTCTGCATATCTGCAAACTCTGCTATTGAAATATTTAACTCTTGTGGCTCTGCTCCATGAATCAAACAATTATCAAATAACGGCATATTCTTTTTGAAACACAATACGGCATTCAGATTTCAGCAAACTACAAAAACCCAAGTTATTTGGTATGCTATACCTCGAGGAAATCCACTTCACCAAATTGTCCTCATTAAAGAGAGAACAGTAGCGATGTGCTGAAACTTTAAACACGACTATACAATGACGGAAATCAAGTGGAACAGCCACCACGCTGAAATAAATAATGAAAGGCAATAAAACAATTACTTGTAGAGGAAATATTACTTGTACAGCAAATGAAATATAGTTTGATAAAAATATTATTTAGAATTTACCCAGCATAAAACTGCTCTAAATTAATTTCATCATTATTATTATATTATAACTTTGTATAATATAACTAAATATTCTAAATATAGTATTTTATCTTAAAAGATTATTCAAAATATTATTTAACAATAACAGTAACTTTTCAGTACATTATTGAACGCATTCAATTTCATTTTGACATTTTTCATTCATTTACCTAAATTTACCCAGCATAAAACAGCTCTAAATTAATTTATTATTGTTGTTATTATTATTATTATTATACACATTTATATAACTACATATTCTAAATATATATTTTTTAAGATTATTCAACATATTTAACAATAACAGAATATTTTCAGTACAATATTAAACACATTACATTTTTCCAGTCATTTGCTATCATTATTATTATAACATCATTTTATGTTATATAACTAAATAGTATATTATTTTAGAGATTATTTAATATTATTTAAAATTAAAACAACTTTTCAGTAAATAACTGAATGCATTCAATTCCATGTTGACATTAAATTAAAAATGTCTAAAATAAGTGCTTGAGAAGAAAAGGTCATAGCAAAAAGGAAATTCCATTCCAAGATATCAGTTTCATAAAATGGCAGAAAACAACCAGAAAGTCCGGAGGAGAGGGATGAAGGAAAGAAAATGAAAGAATGACGATAACATGGAGGAGAAAGAAAAAGAGCTAGAGAGAGTGAAACGGAGAGATGGAGACAATCGCGTGTGTGTGTTACTGGGACACTCTGACACCCATGGACTGACACAGCATGTCTTAAAGCCGTGCTCACACTCAAAAGGAGCAGCGTTTCTTCATGTTTACAAAACAAATTTATTTATTTATTTCTTCATTCGATCATTTATTTCGTTATTTATTTCTATCGGGGCACGCTCGGCTTCCCCGCAAAGCCTTCGACGACAATGACGACTCTCCCACCTCGTATGCTCTTTTAATACCACTGCAGAAAAGAAAAAAATCAAACCGCTCTCGAACAAATTGATGTACTCTTTAATACAGTCGTCACATCATCACAGGGTCTTTGCGTCGTCTGTCTTGGTGACAACTGCAGGGCTGCTTAGCTTAGCCGCCATGGCTACTGCTTTGTTGGTCGCTTCAATGATTTATCACAAAAAAAAGAAAAAGAGAGGAAAAAAAGGATGGAGAGAGAAAGAAAAGAAGGGCCTCTTGATTGAGTCATTGGCACCTTTGATTGACATGGCATAATCAGCTTATCTGGGTGCTAATAAAGATGATGGCCTGCAGAGACACTCTCTACCTGGCTCTGCGTGAACTTTGGGCCCTGGTGAGGCCCCCAGGGGCCAGGCCCCGACCCACTCTGCTTATCTAAACACTGCTGAAATCAATCCCTAATGAGCTGGTTTCATTTTGCCCCATCGATCCGCCGCCGCAGCGGCTGCTGCGTATTCAAGGGCCACCACTCTGCTCCTTACGGACACGGTTTCTCTCGGCTTGTTTGCTTATATCGGACACTCCGTTCAAATTCATTATGATTAATTAAAAGATTTTGAGGTCATTCCATAAACTGCCTGTGATTAAATTGTTTTCTTAGGGGGGGGGGAAATGTGACTAAATATTCCAGAATCCTTCAACAATCCCAAATTTGAGTGCAAACCACAGAATTACACCCCTAGGTATTTTTTTTTCCATACAAAAACTCTTTTGCCCACTTCCTTGGCTTTTATAAACAGCCGGGCACTTCTTTGATTAGGGTTTATTTAATGCTCATGGGCTCTGGGACATCTCTGATTTAAATGCCTTTAAATTGGCTGCTTTGCTCCCTCCTACTGTACTCCAGGCTCTCTTCAGGCCGGCATGCCTCTGGTACAGGCAGCTTTAAAGTGGGTGCCCTCTCCTAATGAAGACCCATACTTTATTTATGAGACAAACAGTTTGGTAAAAAGCTCTGCATGTCCAGAGAGCACTCTCAATATCTCTCAGAGGGCCTGGAGTGCTCATGACACACTGCTGCTGCTGCTGGACTGAACGCATCACACACTAAATCACCCTTAAAAATCACACAAACACAGTCTCCTTACTGAAAAGGTAAAAAAAAAATCTGATTCCAATTACAGTACATACAAAAATACACTATATGGGTGATATGCAGTATTTTACTAAAATCCCAGTAGATTTTTGCAAAGAATTTTTTTTAAAAATCTAAGAATTTACGACAAATTTAACAAATCAACATTGATGAAAAATAAATAATTTGGTTAATACGAAATGCAGGTTTGAAATGTTTCAATCCTAAATATATTCTTCTAGTGAAATTTTTAAATATGAATTACAAATGAACAGAAATTACAAATCAATGATAAAACAATTCAATCTTAAGCAATATTGCGTATTATTGGCACAAAGCATTGACCTAGATTAAACTAGTAGTGAAACAATTATTAAAGTAAATTTGACCGTAACTGTAGAGTAAATATTTTAGTAATTTGCAATTTATATACCATTTGCAAACATACTGATATTATTTTTACTATGCTTTACTATACACACACACGTTCAAATGTATTGTGTGTGTTTGTGTAACATTTAAATACATTTTATATATATTATCTTATACTTCAGGCAAAATAATATAGTACAATATAAATATATGAATATATATATATTTATATATATATATAGTGTAGAAAGTATACACACAAAGTATATACAGAAAATACATTTTGTTTAACTAAATAACAAATCTAAACAAACAAATCTATTTTATAAAATAGAAAATCTATAAAAAATACCATTTTATTATTAGCAATTATATTTTTGTTTTGTTTTGTTACAGAATAGCAGATACCCGTAGGCGCTCGATAGCCAGCGCTGTAGCAGGTGTGGTTTGTCGCTCGAGTGAATTTTAACACACGGTTTATGAACTGGCTGATCTGCCTCAGTGTGACACAGGGAGCGAGGGGTCACCGCCGCAACCCAAACAAAGCGCATCTATCCCTGTAGCTCCTCGACAGCCACCGAAGCAGGTCCGTGTTTGCCGCGACTCTGTGCATTTCCCGCACAGTTGCTGTGCCCAAATCCCAAAAGTATAAGGTTTGTCCTTCTTGGGCCACTTCAGTTTAGGACTACCTGCCGCTACGCTTTTAAGACGCAGGTGTGTGTGGACAGGAGTGTTGGGGTGGTCGGTGGGGTACGGGGGTCAGGGATTAGGATCACAGGAGTGAGACGCACAGGCCGAGTTGCGCTTTAACGCGGTTAGAGAAAGGCTGAGTAAACAGACATTGTTCTGCGCTTGCGGCTCCCACACTGAGCGGTGTGGCATTGTAACGGGTCTCAGAGGCAGAAGCCGTCCTTGATGGGGGAAAAACTCCTCTCACAGGGAGTCTGATCCCACCGTTGGAGTGTATGGGCTTCTGCTTTGGTTCCTACTAGAAAGCAGGCAATTCAATTGGGCAGACATAAGTAAAAAAAAAATATGCAAACAAAAGGCTTTCATTCGATGAACTGAAAATATATATCTAAAAAATTATGCAGGAAAAGAAAATACCAAGCACGGGCTTGAGAGGATCCAAAATAAATGAAACTAAATTTTTCAGCAGAGGATGCAGATTGCATTTATGAATTTGTGAGTTGTTCTTGCGAGACATCAAAAGCCAGTGGTCTGCACAACCCTTTCTTGATTTGAATTATTAACTGTGTCGACGTGGCACACGAGCCACCCTACCATTATAGTGTAAATTAACAAACTTTTCAAAACTAAGGCAGAAGCCAAAGAAAGCCAGTAGCTTCTTGAAGAACGAGCTTTGATACGTCTCTGAGGAATACACTCTGCTTCAACAACACGTTGACAGTCAGGCAAAAAAAAAAAAAAAGAAGATGCCTGCTTATTTAATTTATTTCAGATCTAAATTAGTTCATTTTCTTGTATTTAAAGATGAAAACTATTCTTCAGACAGGTGTGAATCGGGTGCTTTATTTAGAAATCAGTTTATTAAAAGATCTGTGTCTTTATTTAGCTCTAAGAATTGCAGGACGTTGTTTTTTATTCTAGTCGACACGCCATCATTTGGTACACATATTAAAAACTCTCTCTCTCTCTCTCTCTCTCTCTCTCTCTCTCTCTCTCTCTCTCTCTCTCTCTCTCTCTGGTAGGTGAATGGAAATAAGGCAGTGTGTTTTGTGTGAGTCTAACAGCACTGCGGCTGCTGCTCTACACCTTTCTCTCCCTTGCTTCTCTTTGATGTGCTCCTGAAAATGTCACCAGTCGTCAAGGCGTTTTTTTTTTTTCAACTCTCTCTCTTTTTAGCACGCATACGAGCGAGACAATTTGCTGTCGCTCACCCCCCTACCCAGAATGCCTACCGGTTTCTACTGCTATCTGGTAGCCAGCTTCCAGCCTCCGAGATGACCTTTCCAGCCTCTCTGTGTTGTCCAACAGATGTGCTCTCTGAAACAAACCACAGACAGAAAGAAAACAATGAGAATGATTGAGAAGAATAGGACATTATTTACAGAGACATTTTTCAACATAATAATAATAGGCACACTAAGACAAAAGGGAATAGACTAATATACTAGAATAAATTTAACCTATACATTGATTCAAGAACGTCTAATTACGAGTTGCGTTTTTCATAACAAATTGGACTGATCTTAGTGCAAATTCTGAAGCAAAAAATGACAGAGCTCCAATCTAACACCTTTCCTTTCTTTTTAATTGAACTTCCTTTTCGCAGTGGATTTGTTCTGAAGGTGTTGCCAGATCTCATTAGCTCCTATTTAGAACCAGGGCAAAGATTAGCATGGGAGGGTTGGCTAATTGAGCTGCAATATATTTTCAAATGCTGCTTCAGATTACACAGTATCTGTTAGTCTGATAAGTTCAGGATGCCACCATGAACCTCTTTACACTAAGTTTTTTTATTTGTTATGTGTGCTGACAACACTTGATGGTTTCTCTACAGTGCAGTTTGGATGTTTTAGGGGTCACTCTAAATAATGCAAACCAATGAGGCACGTCGTCAACTTTTTCAAAGAAAGGTTGGTATGGCTTGTGTTGAGTTGCAGATGTAAAGTCAGAAGTTAATAAATGTAAGATGAAAACAGACACCATGGCCAAGAGACAGACGCAATAAATATTGCACAACATCAACAGCATTTATACGTCCTTCGAATGAAGTGGTCTCAGATCCGTTATCTTTTGATAACATAAAATAACATAGTATTAAAATACAGTAAAATAGTAATAGTGTGAAATACCTTTACAGTTTAAAATAACCATTTTCTATTTTAATATAGAAAATATTTTTAAAAAATAATATATTTTAGGTTTAATTTATTCCTGTGACAGCAAAGCTGAATTTTCAAAATCATTACTCCAGTCTTCAGAGTCACATGATCCTTCAGAAATCATTCTAATATGCTGATTTCTTAATATTATCACAGTTGAAAACAGTTGTGCTGCTTAATATTTTTTTGTGGAGAGTGTGATACATTTTTTACAGTATTCTTTGATGAATATAAATTTCAAAAGAACAGCATTTATTTGAAATATAAATCTTTTTAACATTATAAATGCCTTTACTGTCACTTTTGATCAATTTAATGCTCCCTGCGGAATAAAAGTCATAAAAAAATAAAATACTGTCGAAAAACGTAAAAATCTTACTGACCCCAAACTTTGAACTGTAGTATATGCGCGCGCACACACACACAATACATCACTACAAATTATATTTTATGTAGAAAGAAATCTCATACATATATAAATATACAAGTGCTAAAAATAACCTACAGTGGGGTCCAGAAGTTCACTTGTGAAAATGCTTTTATTTCGCATGTTCCTAATTTAATTTAAGGGTTTTCATTATTAATTCATTTTCAGAATGTCTTTGTTTTTGGTTTGTTCCCTTTTTTCTTAAAACCTGATGATCATGTGATCCAGCATCATTTGAGAATGATCCAAAGAGCATCTTTTGCTTCAATAGAAGAACATCAACCATTAGTACAAAGAAGTTCATTGTCACAAATCTGTACTTATTTCATTATTGACTTAAAAATTGTTTAGAATTTGCAATATTTCTCATTCATTTCATACCAATTCTTTGTTTAAAAGTTGGCGCATTCAACTTTCTTAAAACTTTGAAGTCTCAAACTTTTGAACCCCACTGACAGTGAAAACAGGGCTAAGAATCATCCAACACAATTCACACACCCATTTTCTGATAAGCCATATAATTTATGACTGTGAACACTAAATTAGACCACTGCATTTCCATTTTAAAAATACATAACAGAGAGAGGTAACTATATTTCAAAAGGATGGTAACCTTTATTCCCATTTACATGCACAGAAAGAATAAAGGCAGAGGGGAAAAAAAGAGAGAAACGAGGTTCCAGTTCTAGTTAAGCTGTCAAAATATGTAGCTGCTAATCACTCCAAGGAAATGAAATTAAAAATAGACGACATTCCACTTTTCAAAGTTTGACAATCACAGAGAAGGGAGAAAAAAAAAAAGAATCTGAACTTTTTTTTTCTTCACCTCCTCTCAGTTGACAGATGTCATTTAAAATAGCTGAAATACTTTGTAATAGTTTAAGGGAGGGGGTGTTAGTGTGTGTGTGTGAGAGAGAGAGAGAGAGAGAGAGAGAGAGAGAGAGAGAGAGAGAGAGAGAGAGAGAGAGAGAGAGAGAGAGAGAGAGAGAGAGAGAGAGAGAGAGAGAGAGAGAGAGAGAGAGAGAGGGGGGGGAGAGAACGGGGGTGGGAGTGCGTATGGGGAAAAGGGAGCCATCTCTGCCTAATGAGCCCCTCTGGATCAGCTGAGATGGAGGGGACGTATTGACATGCACCGCTTAAACTAATACACCTAGACCAGGGATGTGCCTGTGTGCCTGGAAGCACAAGGCAGCCGGGGATACTGACAGAGTAGCTCGCTCCCCCGTCTTCAAAGAGCTCAAGTGATTAGTATGTTATCATTACCATTCGAAACGTGATTTCCTATTCCCTCTCGGCAAAGGTGACACGTCTCGGGGAGACGGCCAGCAGACTCGCGCGCCGGAAAGCCACTTCAAAGCTTTTTCTTGAATTTGTCTCCCTCGCTCATTCGGTCTATTTTTCCGAGGGTTGAGGTGGGGGGGGGGGGGGTTGTTGATGTCTATTGTGCGAGTGTGTGGGGTGCGGGGGAATAAGGGTGACACACACCGGGGTAACAACGAAGGTGGCCACGTAGGTGCAGGGACGACAACAACGTGACAACGACGACTTCCTGAAAATGAATCACCTATCAAAACGAATTACCTCGCTCTGCAAATTTGTTTTGGATAAAGGGCCGACATATGGATCCAAAATGCATCCGCAATGAGATCTTTATGAGTAACAAAGCACCTTAGACATAGCATATCAGTTGAGATATTTAAAACATAAGGCCCTGGATGCATATCACTCACTCTCATAGACCAAACTGACCTAAATAAAAGGAACCCGCTGTTTTTTTTTTCTTCATTTATTCACTATTAGAGCAGCATGACTGTCAAAATTGTCTCTCTTTTTTGGTCTTATGGAGTTCAACAGAAGCTACTTTTAAAGAGGGCATGATAAATATTGGTGCGCCTGCGACCGCCTCTGCACGCGCCCCTTCTCATTTGTGCCAAAGCATGTATGCCTTTTTATCTGACACCTACTTTTTCAACAAAGACGTTCTTAGATACTATAAACGAGGTTGTTTTTTTTTTTGCATTTTTTTTTTTCTTTCGTGAAGAACCGCACTTCAGTTGTAAGTTATTAACGTGGAACCCAGGAACAATGCGAATGCAACTCAAAAGAATTGTCTTCCCTTCTCTCTCCCCTTTTTTCAATATCAAACACGAGCGCTTACAATCGCAATTTTCAAAAGTTTTGATGATTCCTTATTATTTCAAATGGGGAGGGGGACGGGGGGGGGGGGGGGTAATAGTCAAAGTGAATAATGATGACAGCTATGATTCAGACTGACTATGTGATCTTCTCCACCGTTTGTTTGGGACTTGTAAGAAAAGGAATTACAAGTGTCAAACAGCTGTGAATAAGGGTGCTAAATATTTAAACATGTTTTCCAGCTGAGGAAAAGTACAGTTTTAAAAAGCAGGCTAAGTGTGTATAAGCTACACGGGCTTTGATTTAAATTCAGTAAAATGGGAGAACGAAAAAATGTGATTTAAAAGCTACGCATTATAGGGTAAAAACCCCACTAAATGTATCTTCTGACCCAAGGTTGAAAAAATGCTATACTCCCATTTTGTCTGATCATGTGGGAAAAAACAATAACAAAAAAAAAGAGAAACACACAAGTCAAGGTAGAACTGTGAGGGGCTGTAAATTATAAATGCAGGGTGGTGGTGTGGCTCTACAGATGGGATTATTCAGCAATAGGAAGTGAAGAAATCTAAACAATATACTGATGTTCAGACAAACACAGACACAGGAGTCTATACAAAGATCCTCCAAACCAGAGGCACTGCTGAATTTCTTCTCTTATGTGAGCTAAGAGGATTTTCTAGCATGACACTGCCTGCTCTGGAATGTTTACTTAAATGTTTTTGGTATAGCTTCAAGATGGGTAAGAGTAAAGAGAATTATCAGCTACTTTAGATCATTATTCTTGAATTTGTGTAATTTTTTTTACAGTACATAACAGGATGACACGTACTTACAGAAGTAATGAATTAGTAAAATGATGCAAGTGTCATTTTATTTTCGTAAGACGACAGAAGAGAAGATAAGGTTTTTCATTTTTTCCCATCCATAAATATTTAATGCATCTTTACAATTTCTTCAAGATAGAAAGGATTAGAAATTTGCATTGTAAACAGCGTTATCTTCAAAGATAAGCAATAATTTACTAAACAAGAAGCATGATGCAGTGCTATCCAGTCCTCCACTGAGAGGAGGCTTCCTTTATGAATGAAGATCTTCAGATATTGCAGTCTGTGTGTCTGCATGTGTCTATGAATAGGGGAATCCCAAGTCCAAACAACAAAACACACACACACACACACAACCCTAGACAGGAGATGAAGATACCAGCAAGCAACTACACACACACACGCACATCGAGACGACAGCCTTTTTGCCGTAATCCACATACATGCTCACTTCCAAGTCGGATGAATGCTACAAATACAAAAAGACATTACAAATTGTCCCCTTATCTCAAACTAGAAGGCAGGCTATTGTATTCTCATCCGCTGAGTGGGGGGAACGTCTTTGGGCTGCTTCCTAACGTTGCACAAAGAGAACTCCGCAGTTGGCTGTAAATTCACAATTCTGTTATATTTAGAGCCATGTGTGCTAATAACATACCAGCAGAAGCCAAAAAGAAAAAGTGATAAAGACTGAAATATAGCCTAGTTCATTTTATATGTGGTAAATTAAACAATTTAGAAGTTAAAAGAAGAGTTAAACAGGTAAATAAGGTTCGGTTTGCCTGCTTGAGTGAACAAATTACAACTTATTTTCAATATTGACACGGTGAATGATTAGCTGATCTAGTCTGTTTTAAGTCACCTGACTTTAGTCACCTTTCTGTTTTAAGAAAGGTGATCTAAATTTACAAATAGGAGAAATTAGCATAAAGCATATCTAAAGTTTGGGGTCAGTAAGATTTTACTATTTTTTTAATAAATATCTTATGCTAAACAAGACTTCATTTATTTGATCAAAAATAAAGCAGAATTAGTAATATTGTGAATATAGCTGTTTTCTATTTTAAAATGTAATTTATTCCAGCAATGGCAATGCTTTTGCCATTGCAATGTGTTTAATTTGCTGAATATTCTTTAGTGTCAAATGATACTTCAGAAACCGTTCATCTTAATTTGGTGCTCAAGTAAAAAAAAAAAATATTATCATCAATATTAAAAACTCTTAAGCTGCTTAATTGTTTTTGCTTTTTTTGCTTTTTCTGCTTAAAAGTTTCAGGATTCTTTGGTTAAATCTTTTCTAGCATTTTAAATCATCACTTTTGATCAATTTAATGCATGAATAAAAGTATCAATTTCTTTAAAAATATATATTTTTAGTGTTTTATTTTAAAGGTCCCGTTCTTCATGTTTTTTTGAAGCTTTGATTGTGTTTACAGTGTGCAATATAACATGTGTTCATGTTTCGCGTGTAAAACAACACAGTATTTTTCACACAATTTACTTATCTGTATACCGCTGTTTTCACTGTCCAAAAAACGGCCCGATGACTTCCTTGTTCTATGAAGTCCCTCCTTCAGAAATACGTAACGAGTTCTGATTGTGCCAGCGGTTCCTGTGCTGATTCGACAGCAGCTTATCGCACGTTGCCCGGAAAGGTCACGCCTCTTACCATAAATTGGAGATGCATGTGCAGCTGAAGTGCTTCTTCTCCGTGGGAGCGCAACAAGACCACGCCCCCTTTTTTGTGTATTCCTGTGGGCGGAGATTAGTCAAAAAACTGTTCTAGTTACGTCATTAAAAAAGGAAGTAGAGGGATGTAGTCCAAACCGGCCGTTCGCTGTATGCTTTGAAAGGGGACTTCTGTTAAATAAAATATCTCGCTAGGCATTGAACTTTGAGCTTTATAATTTTACAGGTATTATTTATGCTCTAACAGCAACATTACACTAGCCTGGTTAAAACCAGACCATTCTCAGTTGTAACTGAGTTAGGGTCTGGCAAAGCTTCACAGACAAATCATTTCCAAAGGGGCGTCACCAACGGACGTAGCTCCAATGCCTCTTGGAGCAATTGGATAGACCTAAAACCAATCAGAGCGATGAAGATGACGTATGCAGAGCGACGTTCGTCTGTTATAGAACAAATTAGTTTGAATAAACGAGCAGACACTGATCAGCTACTTGCTCTACGTTTATTTAAAATTAACAGCAAGACAACTGGAAGTGAATGTGCTTTCCATTAAATAAATCACACACAGTAAACAAAACCTTGACAAAAAAAACTTTGCAATTTAGACGTGCAAACTGGGTGCCGGTGGTGTGAGACGAACGGCTCGGGCAGATTCGGCTTGAAGTCGTTCATCCTCGGATGCGGCGCCGCGCTCGCTGTTACAAAAAACCCGTGCACACAGGCAAGCGAAATGGGGTCTTGCCGGTCTTGCGCACCGAACGCGTGATTTTTGCCCCGCGCACCTTCGCGCTCGTGCGGACGCGTCGAGTATAAACAAGGCTTTACTCCGTGTCAGCGCGCACTCTGATCGGTAAAGGGGCACAGATCTATCCCGAATCATCTCCAGCAGTAGCAGCCTCCGATCGCACCACTAACTCCGCCTCCGTTTCCCTCGTAAGCTGATATTAGTATTTAAACATTCTCTATGATAAATGTTTTTGAAAAAAAATATTTTAATAACATGGTTTTGGCGGTTATAGAGTTCTAATGACGGTGTTCAACTATAACCGTCACACATAGTTCCACGGCGGCATCCATCTTTGTAAATGTAAAAAATCTGCTTCACCGTCGCTGTGCTGTCGTCATCGTGTAATGCCCGCCCCAACGTTTCTGATTGGTGCCGCGATTTCGACAGATTGGAAATGGACTTCAATGAGCTCTTTGCCAGACCTACTTGCAGAGCAAATCTTAATTTGCCGGAAGTGGTCTGGGTTTTCCCAGGCTAACATTACACACTAATTAAAGTTTGAAAAATGGAATCGCGAAGAACGGGACCTTTAAAAAAACTTAGAATTGAATATCGACCACAAGACGCATCTTTGTGTTCAAAAACAGTGCAATGAAACTTTTTAACTTGACATTTAAAATAAATCAGTGTTTATGATATGAGGTGAAACAGCATCAGTAACAGCAATGTAATTATTTTACAAAATATTTTTACCATGCAAACTACTTCACAGCTAAAGCACAGCATTCTAATGAAAACGCTTCTACTAAAAATATCAAAGTTTACAAAAAAAATCAAACTAGTAATCAACTAATGTTGAACTAACATCGTGACCCATCACTAAAAGAGAATAAAAGCTTAATATCCCGGTCTCCCCCTCCCTTTTTATTATAACAGCATTCTTGTTGCATGTTCATATTAGGTGAATGTTTTGACAAGCTGATCAAATCTTTTAAGGTTTGGTGTGAAACAGCTTTGATTCAGTTCCTCATAGAGCAGCATGTAAAAATGAGCCTCATTTTGAGCTCAATCAAAAGAGACTCAAAAATCAGATTACGCCTTCTTTATTCTGACGAAGCGGGAAAATCAATGGAGGATCCGCTGGAAAAAGAGGGAACTAAAATGGGAAGGAAGAGCAGCACTTACCTCTTCACGTAACTTTATCAGCTGCCACATGAAGGCACAAAATAGAGAGAGGGAGGGAGAAAAAGAGAGGGAGGGAGAAAGAGAGTGAGAGAGATAGATAAAAAGCCGAGACATGGCAGGAAGCAGATCAGTCATGCGGCTGGGTACAGAATTAACCTTGACGATTTATCTGTTTGCATGTTTAGCATTTAGAAATCACAGACAAACACATTAAAAGAAGCTAAACACGAGACTCATGCCGACTTATTTGAACAAACAAAGATCAAGTTCTCGTGCTGTCACATTAAACAAAGAGACTGGGAATGGATTTCTCAACTCACGACGTCTAAACTATCATCATCAAGGAAGAGGGGGAAAGAAACAGTCACATCACAGCACTTGATATGGCATAAGGGGGGAAAAAACACTAGCGTATGAGTCGGTACAGTAGGATAATACAGATTGCGTACAGTAAGAATGGAAGCTTTGAGGATTTAGGCTCCTTAACAACAACTCTGCAGGATTCCTACTTCTGGGCTAAGAAACAGAAAGTGACACCAAGCAATGCTCCTTTTTATTATTACAGGATGTGCCTATCACTTCTGACTCGCTATCAATGTCAAGTGTATTATGCATTAGGCCCAGGAGGGATGAATGTATATACATAAACATAAAGCCAAGATGTTGCATATCATTTATGGCAACAACCTATTATGGAACAAAAAAAGAAATGTATTTTTGATAAAAGGGAATCTCATATTAAAACTAGTAAAACCGAGAATGCGTGTCTTGCCATGCACTTAGTGGCCCTTGAACGGTCTCTGAAAGAGGCTAACATAATTTAAACTTAAGAACATTAAGCATTTAAAGCAGCTCTTCATTACAGCCTCTTTATTTAACACAAGCATTCTCTGCAAAAGGTGAGTTGCTTATCAGCCGCACACAACATATTCAAAAGAGGAGGGGAAGGACAAGTTTCTTAATTTGTCAGCCGTTGCAGGTGATTTTTTAATCTCCATTTCTTGCCAGAGATTAAAGGTTAGCAGATCTAAGGGGAAGCTCTGGGCCATTATTAAAGGCCTCTCATCTCTTTTTGTGTGCGCTGGTCATTTTGAATTTTGCGATTTTTAAATCATTCGCTATCATATCAGAAAAGAGACAGAACTTGGATCATAAATTATAAACCTAATGCCTGACTCAAAAGGCTGAATCTATGGGCGTGATGTTAAACTGTGGTGGCCGCTGTCGCTTTCAGCAAAGCTATGCTTGCAGTTCAATGTGAAGAACGTCAGTAGGATGAAATGTTTCTGATATAACAAAGCACCTTTTGCAACAAAACAAAAACAAAAAATGAAATTAAACAAAATTGGAGAATGAGGACTTAACTAAATATGGTGTGAATAAGAATTTAACTTAATTGTACACCAACTAAAAATAATTCACTTGTATTGGATTTTATGCAATTGTATGTTGATTGTACAGCACTTTGGTCTGCATGTGCAGTTGTAAAGTGCTTTATAAATAAATGAAAATTAAATTAGGTTAAATATTTGTAAACTGAGGTCATTTTATTTAACTTAAATTAAATGACCTCAGTTTACAAATAAAAACTGGCATAAACATGTAAGAAATCAAATATAATCAAATATAAAAGAATCAGATATAAAAATATGATACACAAAACAATTTTATTACAAAATTATTAAATAATTGGGGTTGTGTGCCAAAATAATAAAAGTTAAATTACAGACAACCTAACAACACCATGAGCATGCTATATAAAAAATCTAAAGATTTAAAAAAAAAGAAAATTCTAAGAAGCCGATTAGATAAAAATTTAGAAAATTATGAATCTTCAATATTTAGTATAAAAAATGTAAGTTCAGAAACACAAAGTATATCCAACCAGACACGAAAAATAAGCAGGGCCGAATTGTAGCTCCGAGCTGCTGATTTTCGAGGTAGCTTCCTTACGTCGAGCCTGCATTATTCAAAAGGCCAAAGTTTGTGAATACACTATAGAAGTGGCTATTTGGGTTTGCTGTGAGCCCACCCGAGCTAAACGCAACCCTGCAGACCGTCTCAATGAACACCAAACAAACCTTGTTCTATCATATTTGTGCTGCTTGGACGATTACGAGCCCTCGCCGAGGATTTACCCAGAGAATCAGGAAGATTTTAAGCTTGCTGTTGTTCTTTCAAGCCACGTTTTTTCCTCTTTAAACCAAACCGGACAACCAGTCTTTTGTTGCTTTACCTGAACTCGCAAGCATTTTTTCGAGGAAACGTCGATGAAAAGCTGAAAGAAATTTTCCGAAATTGTTTAATTATGTTGTGATGAGTTCATTCCTTCGCGTTCATTTTTTTTTTCATGTGGTTGTTATTCAAAACTGCACTGCTGCAATTTTTCTGTTATGATAATCAGCGGATTTTCAAACAAAGATTTTTTTTTCCAATACGGAACTCGATACAAGTGGTAATCTGCTTCCTTTGTAGCCTGTAAAATCTGGTCCACGCCGGCTCAAACCTGCCCAATCTCTCGTGGCCATGCCTTCTGCTGTGTCTGAAATCGAAACTATTCCGCAGAGTATTCGTGTGCGAAAAAATGTGTGTGCGCTCTCACAAGTACGTGTGGGGTAAAAATGTGTGCGTTTCGGGTGGAAAGGGTTGGGGGAGGGATGTTGAAGAAAAAAGTGCAACGGTAGACCACCACATTATTAAAAAAAAAGAGCGATAGCACCAATTCGGTCTCTGTCCGCATACAGATAACGAATAAATGCCGAACTCTATTAAACCGTCCTTTAGCTATTATCGCAGGGCCAACACGCTATTTTCAGAACTTATGATGGCTCCCTATTTACTTAGCTATAAATCCTCGCCATGTAACGAACAGATTTGTGACTGGTAATGATCTGCTCAGCCAGGGCTATATGAAATGAGCCTGACCTCTTTTAGATCGTAAGGAATTAAATTGACCGACTCACCCCAGTCACCCCCCCCACATCTCTTCCCCTCCGCTCTATCGGTCCTGTCTCGCTCGATAAAAAAACCCTGAAGTTCCGACCACTCCACTCACAGCAAGTCTTGTGTTAGGATCCAGAGTTTAATTCAGTATTTTTTTAAATGGAAATTAAGTTCAACACCTGAGGTCCGATCGGAAAGAGAAAACTGGTTCTTGTTCTCCCGTTAAGGAAATGTTTATGCATATTTAAAATGCATGTGTAAACTGATACAGAACAAAAATGACTATGAGATCATATTTTTCTATTTCATGGAAAATGGGATAAAACATTTATACATATTACTCTACTAGAAGTTTTTTGCAAAATTAGTAAATGGATAAAAAATAAATAAATGTGTTTATAATATAAAATTATATATATATATATATATATATATATATATATATATATATATGTATGTATGTATTATATTATATATGCGTGTGTGTATGTGTGTAGAACAAATTACAAATGCATTCAAATATTTATATATACATAGTTAGTACATTGTTCATCCTCATGCTCTCTTGTGCTTATTGTTTGTGTCTTTGTGTGAAAAGAGGCTTCTGATAGTATAGGTGACAGAGAGTGGGGAGCTTGACTGTGTCTAAGGCAATAAATATAACAACATCCCAAAGCACTTCATCCATTTACCAGATCAATGGCTGCAATCTAACATAAACGTATCTCTTGTTATTGTCTCTAATGTCTTGTTATTAGGCAAATTATCTTTAAGTGTTTAGAGAATTGCTAATATGAAAAGGAATAAGCAACTTCAGGAACTGAAATATAATCCTTTTAAACTATTGTCCTATTGTTCAAACACCACAATAGTGAATAAAGTATGAAAGCCCGCATCTTAAAAATCCATATCAAATGAGCTATTGTGCCTTCCATGACAATTCATAATTATTTTTGATAAAAGGAGCTGTCATTGAATGCAGCTTGAATAACAACTCAAGTAATATGGTTTGTCATAAACTGATTTTACAAAAGCAAGAAGGGAGTCAATAAAAAAAAGCAAACGCGAGTTATAATTTTCTTTCCTTTGGCAAGAATTTGATAAAACCATCAATGTCTAGCTGTGGGTTTGACAGCTCGAGGGACACTTCTACTACTAACTTCGTATGAAGTGTCACACTCATTTTTGTGTCCCACTAATTTGGTGAGAATATGCATATCAATTACCCATCACGGCTAGAGCTACATATGTTTGTAAGATGTGTGGTGCAAAGTTCATCTGTGAAATGCTAATAAGGGGGAAAAGACAAAAAAAAAAAAAAAAAAAACCGGTAACAGTTACAGATGATGAATGTCTGTACGCTTGTGGATTGGTGTCTGTGTTGACAAGTGGCACATTCGATAAATATAGCAAGATAATTAAATGCAGTAATTATTCAAAGGATCTTATTGTGGGGTCCTATTTTTAAAAACGTGATAATACTGTATCCTAAATGTTAAATGCTCACTTTAGAGTATACACACAAACAAATAAAACAGGAAAAAAATTAATATATATATATATATATATACACACACACACTCACACACACACACACACACACACGCATACATATGTATCTGATATCTGAAGAAAAATATATCCATTTTAACAAATAACTTATTTTTATATCCTTACACCTATGTGAAATAATACCAACCATCATTCCTTTTTTTATTATTTACATAGTTTTTCCACAGTGACACCCTCTGTTTAAGGATCTTTGAAAACAGCAGGGTTTTTTTTTCTTTTTTTGGATGGGGGGGGGGTGTTGGTTTTTAGAAGAATAAGTGCTTGTGCGGACGGTGAACAGCTGGGAGAAAGCGGGAATTTACCCCAATCTGGTACTGCCCAGACGCTGGTTGGTGCCTGAAGCCCATTCAGCACTGGGCAGCTTTGCATTAAACAGTGTTGCTTCTGCATGACTGGGTGCCAATGCCTGCCTCTCTCTGCCCCTCGTGGCCCTGACCCGTCCTCACCCCGAGCAGCCACCCACACTGGGAAAGCACAGCCCCTGATTAACACCCTACCTGACTCTCCGAGGAGCTCGCATCATCCCCCAGGAGCTCGTTCCGCACCTCATCACTGTAGGCAATACGTGACCTTTTCTGCAATGGAAACAGGTTGAGAGAGGAAAAAGAGAGAAAGCGAAGAGACAGAGAAGGAAAAAGAAGTGGGGCAAGGGGAGAAAGACAGAAAAAAAACAAGCTTTAGTTCATTTGACATGAAAAAAAAAAATCATACATTTCTAAAGCACGAGAGCCCCCTGTTGGATCAACAAATGAAACAAAAATACAGGTGATATACTGGAGCGTGTGTGTGTGTGTGCGCGTGAATGTTGAGGAGAGAGAAGAAGCGAGTGCGTGTGTGTAATCTAGTTTGTGTAGACACTGTGGCTTGAGTGAACCAGAGCCCTCAGATACAATAGCAAAAGCCCCCCTTTCACTTAAATAAATAAAAAGTGTAGAATAGCGGACCCTAGTACAAGACAGAGGCAGGGAGCGTATTAGGAAAGTATCAGTTGTCAGAGGGAAATGTGTTCTGGGGGCTGTCACTGCTGTCAGTCCTGTTCTCCGGCAAACCCTGTGATAATACCAAGCCAGGGAGCTAGACAGAGAATAATTCATCACCCAGGTCGACGCGATTGGCGTGCCATCAGATTTGGGCTCGTTCCCCCGTCTCTCCTCCGCTACGCAGTTGGGAGAAAGAACGCCGTGTCCAAAAAAGAAAACACACACACACACACTCAACACTTCAGAGCGTGCCACCTCCGATTCAGCAAGCGCAGAAGCAGAGTATGGCATGTTTACAAACACACCCGACCTCTTCAAATACCCTCCAAACTAAACACACACTGGTGGTGCGGCGGGGAAAAAAACACACTGAGATGGCGTTTACCAAGAGCCCTTTGCTTCCCTCTGTTCGCTCTTCCTGCAGGCTGGCACTCTTCGGGAGGATGAGAGCAGGCAAAGGTGCAGGCGATCCACGGGGAAACTAAACAGCAAAATAACTGCTATCCAAGAACTGCTATCATTTTGTGATGCAATGCTGTGTCACAATTTCTTGCAGAGGAAGCGGTCAAATCCTGGAGGATATGACATGAAAATGTATTAAAAATAAAAAGTGGAGTTTGTTTAGCGAGTTTTTTATCAGAGTCAACAATTTCTGAACATTGTAACTTTTGAAACCATGCAAAAAATTTTTTAAACTGAATGCAAAATTCGTAATATTTTGATCACTAGACCATAAACAAAAGTAGACCATATAAAGCAGAAATGTAGCAAATTGGGATATCTAGAAAGGAAGCGAGGAAAGTGAAGCTGACAGATCTTTCGGTTCTAAAAGTGGGGTTTGTTTAGTGGGTTTTATCAGAGTCAAAAATTTCTGATCATTTTAAATTCTGAAAATATATAGTAATTAATTTGCACCATGCTAAATTTTTATAACTGAATGCAGCATTCGTAATATTTTGATCACAAACAAAAGTAGTTGTTAATATAAAGCAAAAATGAAGGAATTTAGATTTCTAAAAAAGGAAGCAAGGGAAGGGAAACTGACAGATCTTTTGGTTTCAAAATAAATACGTGTCATATCTCGTGTCACATCTGATTTAACCGATAAGCAATCGTTTGCATTTGTGTGCACATTATTTCACAAACGAGCACCACAAACAAAGCGCGTCTTCTGACAAAAAAAAAAAAAAAAAAAACACACCCACATGTTCCATCTTAGTCGAGTTTCATCTTAAAGAACAGCAGAGGAACTTTGGGGAATGTCGGCATGTTCATAATTGAAAACGGAAGCCTGGGAGATGCCTTCATTTGAATGAACACACTATCGTCTTCAAACCCTATTTTTGTTTCATTCTTCTTCTTCTTCTAAATAGCTGTTTGTTGTAGCTGAGAGCATCAACCACTTTCACGATGTAACCTTTGAGTGCTTCTCGCACAAAAAGAATGGCAAATGCAGCCTTAAGTCTTCGAAGGGGAAAACTAGTCATAGAAACAAAGCGAGACGCCTCTCCCAGCCCGTTTACACCATTTTGCAACTCCCCCTGCAGTAAAACAAGCCTCACACTGATTATTCTCCCTTCATCTGCTGCTATAGCACAGCAGCTGGGCAATATTGACTGCTTAACCCTAGGAAATACTTTGATTGGTACTTTGCATTGGATCTGAGCCGAGTTATAGGTTATTAGAATTATTTATTTTCCCACTTATCTCCTACATACTCATCTCCTATATGCCATGCATTAATAAAGTGGAGCTATTTATTTAGATCATTGGGGTATTGCATATTTAATCATGACCCATGATGACCTAAAATGGATTGGAATGATATGAATGAAAGTTACAAAAAATTAAGTTCTTGCTCTTTAAAAAATAAAAAAGAAGAAATAATAATCAATGGATTTTAATGTTCATACATAGTTCAGCTAGAGCACTCGAATATAAAACCTGCACTAAAACATAAAAACCCAGAGAGAAGGCTTTGTAATCGTAAGAATGAAGATGGCTTATTGCTACTGAAAAAAAAAAAAGGCTAAATCTTTTTAAAATCTGTTTGAAAGGTCTTTCTCTTGTCACTTGTTTTAATCTTGGGTGAGAATTTGCTTCTATTCCCGGAAGCACAGAGAAAAAGTACAAAGATCTGTCTTAACTTTATGCAAAGTGGCCTGACTGCCTTTTAGAACAGACATGTCTCATCAAACCAGAGACGAGGGTTTTAGTGTCCTGTCAAAAATGTGTGTTATAAGTCTGTTGACATGATGCACAATGCAAAAATATATATAATTGCGTATGCATCATGCATGCTAAATATTTATATCAGCCATGCAAATTACCATAGTGTCTGTGAAATGAGAACAATATGAACAAAACTGCAGCAGATGTCACATAATTTTATTTTATATAAATAGAAAACATCTTATTTACAGGTTTACATTTAACTGGTTTCTGTAGTAACATTATGATTAATTAAAAAAAATGATTAAAGACATAAGAAAATAAAATCTAACCTTTTGTTCTAAGGGCAGGAAAAAGTAAGAGAATGAAAAATATTTCAAAATGTTAGAAATAATTACCCTAAAATATCTTATTATAAATCAACCGCTATCTCTTATTGTTCATCATTAATATTGCATTCTTTTTTTTCTGCACACTGACAGCAAACGGCAACACAAGGACGCAAATAATAATGGAACCTGAACTGCAGCAAAAGTAAACAGTTCATTAGATAGGCATTAAAAGGCATAAAAATACCCAGGGGCAGAGTTTAATGAGAGGCCCTGAAGTGACACTGCCAAAGCTTTTTCCTCCACTTTTCCACTCGGAAACCACACGGCTGGTGGCAAACCGTGAAGAGTAATTAATGATATTTAATTTATAAAGTGTGTTTCATTAAGTATTTCTCACCAGTGGGAAAATGTCTGGCCAGTTATGATTTCGAGTTAATGGGACTTTAGTCAAACACAATGTGGCTGCCTCAAATTGCCATTTAACCTTTTTCTTTCTGCAGCTAATAATCTGCTGAAAATGTTTAAGGGGAATTGATGATTGAAGTGTGTGTGTTGGGGGGGGGGGGGGGTAACAAAACATCACATCTATAAAGCAGATAAGAAAAAGACTATGACTAACAATGAATGGCATTAAATATATAGAAATATTTCATATGATTGTTATTAAGGCATTGTGTGCATGCATCATGTGTGTTTTGTGTGGTTAAGCTGTGTTCTGCAACAGCGGTCAAAGCGTCATGTGTTTTTATGAGTGCATCTGGTCTAGAGTAAAGTGCTGTATTGGTTGAAGAAAGCAAAGACCTTTTCAAGCAGGCTCCAGTATCACAACAGTCTTAAATAATGCATCTCATCCTAGCAGGGGTCTAACACCATCCGCAAGCAGAAAGAATACTATTCACACATGCACAGGAAGCTACACATCCATCCGCACACACATAATCGTGCTGTTCTCTTTTAACATCTAGAAAATAAATTGTAGGAGGTTGTGCAATTAAGTGAGCACTTTTTTGTGCACTTGATACAAAATCAGATAAAGGCACAAAGTAATGACGGTCGCAGGAGGGTCTTTATGCCTCTGTGATTCATTTTTTAGTCTTTGGTAACATCAAATCGGTCGTACGGGTAATAGATGGACAGATGCGTTTGGTTTTGCGTGCGTCAGTTTGACATTTATGTTAGTCGCTTGTGGTAAAAATCGCAGGAGCTGTGCACAACACATGGACTGATATCAGCATGGTGTCTCTCATTAGCACACAGGTTACTGGTGTGTGCCTTTAATTCACTGAGCATTGTGTATGAAATAAAAACAAACAAACCATGAAGGAAAATTCAGGAACAAATGGAGGCCACGGAGATAACAATCACATGAATATGCTATTGTGATATACTAATGTAGAGTGAAACATTGCTCTTTGTACTTAAAATTTAAAAAAAGAAAAAGAAAATCAGACTTTTAAATAATATTTATTATTATAATTTATTATTTATAATATAACAATTATAAATATACAATGAATAATTATAATGTAAAATCTTTAACAAAATCTTTACAATTACAATAACATGAATAACAAAATACAATAACATATGCTATTTTGATATACTAACGCAAAGTGAAATGTTGCTCTGTGCTTACATTTTATAAAAAAGAAAATAATTAGACTTAAATAATAGTTGTAATTGATAATATTAGCAATGATAAATATTCAATTACAATTATTATTTAAGTCTAATTATTTTCTTTTTATAAAATGTAAGCTCAGAGCAACATTTCAATTTGCGTTAGTATATCAAAATAGCATATTCATGTGATTGTAATTGTAAAGATTTTGTAAATATTACATTATAATTATTAATTTTATAATTAAAATTAATTACATTTATAATTAAGTAAATAATATTAACTTATTTTATATATTATTATTATTATAATAAATTATAATAATAATAATGTATTATACATTTAGATGTCTAATATTTGTAAAATATTATATTACAAATTAAGTGTACTTTTAAAATATATATATATATATATATAAAAAATGACAAATTAAAAAAATGATTTAAAAAAACAACTAATTTGTGAGGGAA